TTGTTTTTTTCCATTTAAAATCTGACAGACAAAACTTCCGGTTTTTATACAAACACGTTCTGCGACTTGCTTACTAAACTTATTCCTACCTATACACCACTTTATAGCATGCCACAGAGGCCGATATTAGGAACGAAGATAAAAAATAAATAAAAAAATAAATAAAAAAAACCCTACCTACCTACCCTACTTTTGTTTTCGATGCAATAGGAAACACACCTATTTTTTTGTTTGGCCTAAGTATAAGCACTTGCTGTGTAATGTGTATATACATAGTGTGCCCATCATATCGGAGAAAAAAACCGCGGTCTTAAAACGAGGTGTAGATAAACCAGTTGCCCGCTAATAACAACAAGCCAGCCAACGCAATCATCCCAGCGAACAGTCCTACTATGCTCACGCCGACACCGATGCTCATCTCGTCGACTTGGCCTCGGTCAAACACTCCAAGAAGCACCCGCCCGGCTGTACGTCCGTTACGTCAAACAACAGCTCGCACTCCTGCCTCGCGAACCTTCTTTTCGACGAGGGCGTTCCGCATTCTGACCTGCAACGAAATCGAACCGATGTCTGAGGATTCGGATCAACATTCAGGACGCAACTCGTACGACGTCATTTACGTCCTCCGCTGACCTCCTATGACAATGGGGACATGCCTTGGCAAGCCCACCTGTGGAGCAAATGTTAGTTCCAGTTTAATGATAGAATTTTTTTAGATAATCATCGAGACGGGTATCCATGACGGAGGGTTGCCTATCCATATCTGCCTCGATCACTTACAGGCCTTGTACATAAATAAACGGTTTTCCTAAACTAGTTCATTCAATTCTTCACACATCAAAATTCCTGATATGCTATGCTCTTACCATTGAAACAAAAAATATATACGTGAAAAGCATGTGTGTGTGTCGTACGCATTCAGCACCTAGCTTTTGCAAAACTAACTCTCTGGCTTTGCACTCTGTTTCTCTAACTTGCATTTGGCTTTCCCGATCTTTCACGCTGTTTGTATGTACAGATGATCCCTTGAACGGTTGGGTCACACTAAGTTCTACTAATATAACGAATCTAGTTCTACAAATGGACAGCCTTTTCTAAATGACATAAACTTGCCCCTTCATGATTCAGAATTTATACAGACATTCAACTTACTTAATTTTCTCACGATTCCAAGCTGTTACTGTTAGTCACTTCAAGCAATCTTTTCAATCTGTCAGAAACACAATTCTCCAATTCTCTTTCTCTTTACAACCATGAACTGCGATTTTCGATAATAAACGCATGCCATAGAAAATACCAAACAGGCAAAAATATTTGTCAAATGCTCATATAATGTAGATATGTTATTTGTGATAAGTGGTGTTTCCAGACATGACATTTATTGATTTAGAACGGTGCCTACAGACCCATGCATCAGTATGTTCCCTAAAAGGTAGCTGACCTATTCTCCTGAGGTGGATAACCCCGCCACCCTGTGGCACTTGGAACCCAAGCCGGTGAAGCACACCCAATATGTATGCGTCTTTCACGTATTCACACCAAAATGACAACTTTGTGTTACTTTGTAGCACATTATTTAGAGCAGTGTGTAAAAGACGCCAGGTAGATAGATCAATTATCCCCCTTACCATTACACTACACATTGGATTTGGTTTACAATTAAATGGCAATTTAAACGTACTAGTACGGCAACAACAAGCAGGGGTAGAAGTTAGATAGGGGTAGAGTTTTGATTTAGGGAGTCCACTGGCCTCCATGCCCTCTAACAGAGAGAGTCGGCAGCAAACGGAGGGAGTTTGCACTTGGAAGGTGAAAACTACATGTTACGATAAGGCGCACAAGTGAGTAGTTTGCAGATTCAACAATAAAATTTCACTAACAAAGCACCATACAGAGTAGTGCTGTGCGTCGGATCCGAGCAAAGTGAAAACAGTCAAAAATACCAGATCCCGACAAGGGCATTTTTAAAATCACGAATCCGAATCCGAATACGATCGGCACTATTTGAATACCGCATTCGCGAATGTCCGAATCCGATGGCATTTTTTGAATCCCAGGAATCCGAACGATCCGATAGTGTATCGCTAAATCCGATACCGAATCCATGGATCCGAATCCGACCCGAATAACTCGAACATAGAATATTGGTAAATTGTGTGAGAGTCCATGCAGTCGTAAGAAATTCGTGTTATAATTTGTTCAAACATCAACTTTGGGTTGTGAGATCAAAAAGGGATGGGGTGACAGGGACTGTAAGAACCGTAAAGAACGGGATGATCAGGGGGTGGTGAATCTGGAACGATAATCCATCCAACGTTGTCCAACGGCTTTCGCTGATTCATTGCCTGAACCTCCTGGTTGGTTTATTGTATTCCTCTTCTTCTGTCAACCCACCGAACGGCCAAACACATTGCAAAACAACCTCTCTCTCTCTCTCTCTCTCGTTCTCATCTCCTCACTCCTCTCTCAACAGTCATCCACACACACACACAGACTGCCACACAGCAACACACACACACCACACCACAACGCGCAGGGCGGCGGGCGCGCACACCACACAACACAGAAAAAGCACGCTCAACACATCTCTCTCCTCTCTCGTCCTCTGCTGCTCTCTCTCACCACACACACACACATACACACTGCGCCACGACCTCTCTCTCCTACTCATCTCTCATCTCTTCATCTCCTCTCTCACACACACACACGCGCAAAGGCATATTATGCGCACCTCTCTGGTTCTCAACGCGCCTCGGTCTTTCTCGCCTCCTCTCTCTCTCATCTATCTCTCTGTGTCCAGCAGCACACAACACAAACACAACACGGTCTGCTCTTTCTCTCTCTCGCACACGCCCAAACACTCAGACACACACATTCACACACGACACACCACATGACACAATCACACACACACACCCAAACAGATAATTTCACACACACACATCACACACACACACACACTCACACCACACAACTTCCACACACCACACGCCGCTTGGGGCGCGCGCCGCAAACCCCTCTCTCTCCAGACTACAATACACACATCCCTCTCAGGGGGGGGTGGGGGTTGTGTTCTCTTCTCTCAACAAAACACACGTCGCGCGACGTACGCACCTCTCTCTTTTCTCTCTCTCTGACTCATACACTCCCTCTCTCTCGTTTTCTCTCTCCCCCCTCTTCTGTCACACACACAACACAAACATACCACGACCTCTCTGCTCTTCTCTGGTCACACTACACAACACAAAACAACCACACCTCTCTCTCTCCTCACACCACACACACACGCCACACGACTCGTCTCTCTCTCTGACACATACACACTCCCTCTCTGGTTCTCTCTCTCTCTCTCTCTCTCTGTCACACACACAACACAAACACGAAAATTGTCGTCGGATTCGGATTCGGAGTCGGATTTTCAAAAATGCTGTCGGATTCGGATTCGGATCGCCGGGATCGGGAGAGAAGTGTGGAATCCGAATCCGAATCCGAATCCGATTCTTTAAAAATTGTAAATCCGATCCGAATCCGAATCGGATCGGATTCGGATTATCGGATCCGACGCACAGCTCTAATACAGAGTGCTTCTTTTGCCTTTCGTCTTTACATTCAACATAATTATAATAAATATATTGGGCCAAATTCTAATGGAGCAATACGCTACATTGATGGAGCTAGTTTATATTACTCAACAACTACATGCTGGCAGCAGGGCTTTTAACCACATATAATCAAATACTGTATAAGCTGTATATTTCGCGGTGGATTAATTTTCGCGAATTTCGCGAACGCGTCCCCGACCGCGAATACTTCATACCGAATAATACCAAATATTTCATAATTCACCGACGGCGAAATTAACCACTCGCAAAATTGTCTGTCAAGTCTGAATTCGCGAAAATATCTGTACGCGAAAAATATGGCGTATACAGTAATTTTGAACACTGAACAAGTACCAATTTTAAATCATTAGAAATCTTTAATTATGACTTATATGCAGTTCATTATCATTAATTATTAATATAATTTAACTAGTGCAGTAAGGGCTTTAGTAATGAGGCGAAACTTACCTCACAGATATACCTGACCCCGACAGCTTTGTCAACTGTGACGCTGGCAGATGACATGTGACATGTGTTGATCTGTTCAGGTCACGTCTACGAAAGTCATGGTCCACTGATTCTTGAAACCTAACCGATAACATTGTTTAATACAGTGTTAGATCATCGCCAGAATTATAAAAAGTGAAATTGGTGACGAGTAGTGGCTTAAATCTATGCTCGTCACCCATGGTTATAACTTTACGCACACACACGGAGAGACAAACACACACACACGTGCACGCACACGGAGAGACAAACACACACACACGTGCACGTATACGGAGAGACAAACACACACACACACACACACACACACACGAGCACGCACACGGAGAGACAAACACACACACATACACGTGCACGCACACGGAGAGACAAACACACACACACATGCACGCACGCACGCACGCACGCACGCACGCACACACACACACACACACACACACGTTGAGATTGTGTTGCCACATGTGCTGTATTCTGTGTTACTGGTTTGTTGTATTTAGTAGGGATCAAGACTTAGTAAATTTTGTTTCTATAGATTATAATTTATTAAGGTACGCTGCACACAGCCTACCTAAAACTAGACAGAGGGCACTCACGGAGAGTGCATACCTCTGCCAGCATGTAACATGTATGTGTTACGAGCTGGCTGGCTGGCTCGCTAATATCAATCGCGCGAACACACTAACACACGATCGCACCAGACCGATCACATAACCTCCTCCAACTCCGTTGGGCGAAGGTATAACAACAATGCCACCTCTGCAGTTCACCTACCCTGCAGTACAATTCTTGCAGAAATTGAAAGGCCTTCATTGTAGAGTAAAACAGTAGGGTGAAGAATGGATCAACTTAGTATCTTTACGCAACACGGCGCAATAATACCAGTACCCCTGTAATAGTGTATAAAGAGTTTGCATATGTGCTAAAATAATCCAGAGAGACATGATACACGATTGTGTGGCACAGCTTTGCTATTGATCCTGAGCGCTGCGTGCGGATGAGATGCGCAGTTCCGCGGGATATGCGCACGCGACCGTGGGGATGTTCAAGTATGAAGCGCTGTCCGCAGTGGAGACGTGCGCCAAATTCGACGAGGCCCGGCGCACGTCACCACAGCCGTCAGCAGATGGTCTGTAGTTTTAGAAAATAACAATGAATACTTTGTTCTAAATAAGAACTATTGGCGGCTAAATAAGAGCAATATACAGACCTTTAAATTTCTTGACTAGTCAGTCAAAGGGCTTGTTGGGGGTCCATTATGCAGAGCTTCAAATTTAAATGGCCCATGTGAAATTGTGTTTTTCGGAACCCCAAAGAAAATGTCTCCCTCTAATATGCACCCCTCCCTGATCAATCACGCATTCAGGCGTAAACAATAACAGGAGAATGACAATGTGTGAGTTTTATGGCTCTTGACCGCACGTGCATTGACGTATACAGACTGTTGAATCAACAGGCACATTTGGAAACGTCTCAAATAAATATTCACAATTCACAATGATGCGACCGCCTGTGTGCAAAATTAGGTTTGAACGTAGTGAACATATATAACGTTAGTAGCTTACTGTGACATATCTCGTGACTAATCTGACACCAACAAAATTGTAAAAGTTCCGTGCACCTTAAGAACCAAGGCTAGAAATTACGAGGTTATCAATCTCAGAACTACGTAAGTCTTAATGAGGTGGGGTTGTTTTGTTGTAAGCTATATTAAACCAAACACGCTTTTGCGAAGGTGCCTGCCTCCGATTAGATTTCATTTTTATTTAGTTTACGTCAATTTCGAGGTGCCCGCTAAGCAAGCATAAAAGCCGCGGGGAGGAAAGACGTCACACACATCAGCTACGTTCATTGAAACTAAAACAATGCGAGTAGTGCGTTAGGGATTTTGAATAATATAAATTGTGAATAAAAAACTTCATGTGCAATGATATGACGCACTCTTCACTCCGACAGCGGTGAAAATGCCTAACAATTTTCCACTTCGATGCTGAAAGCATACGGCGGGCACTTTCATATTTACGAAAAGTAAAACAGGCTGGCTAAAGACGTAAGGTACAGTATCTGTCACGTCAGTGACGCCCCATTCATGTCCACTCAACGAAGAAGGCGGGCTTATTGATGATTACGAGATGCGAAATTGCAACCGAAGGACGATAGCCGCAGTGCGCTAAACAGTGTCGGTTAGTTCGTATTTATGGCAAACTCTTACGTAGAAAAGCCGTTTTAACCATAGCAGAATGCCTAGTTGCGCTGAAGATCGCGATTTGTGGGTGCAATGGTTCCCAATGCTTAAAAGTATGTCAGATGTCTGTGGCGCGTAGGCTGGATTGGAAGACACCAAAGTGTCAACCTCGCGCGCCACGGCATGCATGGCCTTTCGTACCCCAAACTTAGCAAATTTGCACAATCTTGAGATACGTCTCAGTGAATAGTGGCTGCCAAACCTGCGGATTTGCTAGTTGGCTGCAATCTCAAGATTGTCGCATGCTGAAAACATCCCTTATTTCAACTACACATTCTAAAATGCATTGTGGCGTATGCGAGTATATAACTGAGGCAAACTAGTAAGAATATTCCTAATGGGCTATCAAATTATCTAATATAATCATTTATTAGTTTAACAAAGACACAATTTGATTTGCCAAACACATGTAAGAAAACTGATGAAAATAACATTTTCGTAGGCCTAATAATTCAAGTTTGCAAGTCCGCTCCACCATTGCCAAACTATATAGCAACCTTGCCCACACTTGCCGCAAACTATATACATTAGCAGAATTGTAGGCCCAATTGTACTGGCTAACAGGCTTGAACGAACTTATAGATTAAAAGATTTTAGGCCAATTGTACTCAGCTACAGATTCGAATGCCTATATATATGACAAAGATTTCGTAGCCATTGCTATCAGCTACAGATTCGAGCCTATATAATATGTTAAAAGGATTTGTAGCCAATTGTATCACTAACAGAATTCGATCCTAATATATGTAGCAGATTTTAAGCTTTATCATCTAACAGAACTCGTTGGGCTATATACATAGCAGATTTGTAAGCCATTGTTATGCAGCTACAGATTGCGATTCCTAATATATATGTAAAAATGTGTACCATTGTATCAGCTACAAAATCCGATGCTCTATAAATGTAGCATGATTTGAGCCTTGTTATCAGGCTACAAATTTTCTACTATATATACCTTAGCGCATTGGCGTACGCAGGGGGGGTTTGGTTTAAAAATCACCCCTCTTGCCTCTGTCACCCAAACAAACATATAAAAAAAAGTAAGAGAAGGAGAAAAAGGAGAGTAGAGAGAGAGAGAGAGAGAGAAGAGAGAGAGAGACCGGGTTGTGTCTTTGGAAGTTAGAGAAGAGAAAGAAGAGAGAAGAGAGAGGAGAGAGAGAGAGAGAGAGAGTGTGTTTGTGTTTTGAGAGAGATGAGCAGAAAGAGGGAAAAAGAGAGGGAGAGAGAACAAAAGGGCCCTATTATCCTGTTTATTAAGTTTAGTATTTGTAAACACCCCCTCCCGAGCTGTAAGAACAAGGTAGCCTATAACGCAGGGTAAGGAGTGTGTACAATGAAATGAGATAGAGAACCCCAAAATCAATCTGCTGCAGGCTCGCGAATCGCGATGTCGTAACTATAAGTATCTTCGCTCTAATACTGTATGTAATATTGTGTAATCAGGAAATTGTGTAATTGTGTGCTCGTGGTGGCAACTCATGACAACTCATGATGATTTTCATGAAACAAAAACAAGTAAAATATGATATAATACAGAAAAATGTGCAAGGAAATGCGGTATTTTTAGGCGTTATTTTCATTTTTCTTTCAAACTCGAGAGGGCTTCATATTTAGCACTATATCTTGCCCGTCTTGCATGAAGACGGTCATATTTCGATAAATACTTCTTGAGTCGACCCATTTTTGTCCAAAAAAATCATACAGAGAAGTAAAATATGTGATTGTAAGCGTTTCAGATGGCTGGGGTCTGAAAAACGTATAATCAGGAAGTATAATAAAGGCTCAATTAGAAATAAATAGAAATGGAATTGCAAGATATGTGAAAAAAAAGATATAGATACAAACCAACTGGGAAGGTATGTTTACAAATTGCAATGGCTGATGGGAAGGTCATCTCACAAATATTTACCTCTTCTCACTGGACTCCACTGCTGATCCAACCAATGTCTCCACAGCTGATATTATACGCTCACTGCTGTAAGTGACAAAGTATACATGTTACCAGGGGTTAATAATGTAATAATGTAAGGTGTCATTATTAACCCCTGATGTTACTTGAATTAGTTGGTATATGCTGATATGTAGCATATCTGTGAAATGAATGAAAAAATAAATGCCACGTTGCGAGCAATGCAGGTGGAAACCAGTGTTGTAAGTCTCGAGGCCGGTCTTGGCTTCGAGACCGGCCTCGAGACCGTTTTCCTTGGTCTCGGTCTCGGTCTTGGACTCGGAAGATAATGACTCAGACTCGGACTCGGATTCGGGGGGTGCGGACTCGACTACAACACTGACACACACACGCACGCACGCACGCACGCACGCACGCACGCACGCACGCGTACGCACACGCACACGCACACGCACACGCACACACAAACACAGCTAATACAGTGTATACGCGCATTACATACATTGTATAAATTGTTATAAATTCTTTGATTGAAGTGAGTGGCCTTGTCAGTCTGTGCCCCCCTTTTTTTTTATCAAAACTGGACTCGGACTCGGACGCGGACTCGGACGCGGACTCGGGTGGTGTGGACTCGGACTCGGGAGGTGCGGACTCGACTACAACACTGGTGGAAACATACAGACCGATTATAAATAAAGGGCGCTAAATGGTCAGTCTGGAAGACTGACATAGTTCATGTACCTTTTCTCACTAGTTAATGTCTTTTTCACTCACCTAATTGCAGTCTCACTACCACTTTCCATTATAGGCTCAACACCGGAAACGCTTCCCTCATTGCTGTAAATTAAAAGAACAACACTCATTCACCATGAAGGATATAAGTACTCTCAACCCTTTTCGCAGGTATTGCTCTAATAAAGATTAAACGTTTATTGACAAACGAATCGAATCAATTACTTGTTTTTTGTATAGATGAGATATCTCTATGCTCAAGCCAAAAAAATTCATGAAATTTCCAGCACCTAATTATGTTTTTATGTAAAAATGGAATTGTGGATATATCTCAATTTCCAGAAAGAGTGAGGATACATAATTTTAAGCGACAGGTTAAGCACAATATGTACCAAAAAAGCACATCAAGATTTTTCTTTAAGTTTCATATTTACCGAGAGAAATGAAAAAAACTGCCTAAAATTCAAGTCACAACGTTTAAATTAATGAAAGTGTCAATGACACTGTAGCTCACCACAAATAACGTTTTTATAATATCCAGATTTATGAAATGCCTATAAAAGTGGAGCTCCTGATGTGTAACGTGTAAGATTGAGAGGATACGCTTATTCCACGTAGCTGCTATGTACCACGTGACGATGGTGTTTCCCTGCCCATAACACAACTTTTGTCAAAGGTTAATTGGTTGCATGGAAGTGTTTACTTCGTATGAGTTTTTCTAGGCGGTAGCACACGGTTGCCATCTGTATATCGCAATAATAATTTATAAACCAAAATGAATCACAATTTGTGACGGTAGATGGCGCTATACCCACGTTATCACGATGGCATTCGAAATAAATAGGCTATGCTGCGTTCCGACATGTTTTGTAAAACTTTACTCTAATGATAAAAAGACATTTTATCGGCAGCTGGAGAGAAAATACCATAATTGCATTAAAGATATGTTCAATGAAATCTGTAAAAACGAACAGACGAGTGTGACACCACAGACTGTTTGTTAATGCTGCGTTTTTTGCATAAATTGCATAAAACCTCTAATTGCATAATTTTTTTTTTAAATAAATTCAAAACCCTACCCTTATTCATTCACATACCAAAAATGAGCAAAATCCGTTCAACCTGAACTGACTAATGACAATTTCCATTTTCCCAAAAAATCGCCGTGGCTCGAAAGTACGCCGACTGGCGTGCTCCAAAATAGGACGTTCCATATGGGAACATAGCAGTAACAACTACACCCAATCTCAAACATGTGGGTCAAATGGTTCCTGAGTTATCGTTGGCTGGACGGACGGACGGACGGACGACACCCATGGCAATAGCTCAGCTTGACGATGTCAAGGTGAGCTAAAAATTGTAGCTAATAAAGAAACATAACTGATAAAATACGGCACCTAATAACAATCCCTGACGTGCTTTTTAAAGCAATATGTTACCATTGAACTATTCCGAGTTGTAATATCCATTTATACATTGGCTGCTGTTAGAAATCGAAATGGATAAATCAGTGTTTCTCTATTTTTCACAATGATCGACCGCCTGTGTGCAAAATGGGTGAACGCATGTGAAACATCTACTGTTAGTACTTACTGTGACATATCCATGACTAATTGACGCCACTAAATTGGTCAAATGTTCCATGCAACTTGAGAAATTTTGAGAAACCAGGTTACCATTGCAGCGCACAAACACCGCCCATTGCCTGCTGTCACTAAGCTATATGTCAACAAACGCGCGCATTATGTAAGGTATGTAGCTAGATGAAATAACTATTTTTGGCAGCGTGGGATAGTTCACAGATAACTAGCAGATGACAGCTGTAGAATGGTTGATGTTGATGGGCTAACACTCCATTAGGAGCGTTCCAAACTTTAATGTCATTAATATCGTGATATAAAAGAGATATCCGGGGGGGGGGGGCAAATCGATATGAAATATATATGAAGGGGGGTTAGATATGAAATAGATATTAAGGGTGGGTTAGATATAAAATATATATCAATAGGATATGAAAGTCGGCGCTTCATATGAGTCTTGATGTTTCTTTTCAAAGCGAGCTTGAAAAGAAGGCATTGCTCTTCGAAGTGAAATGTTCGCTTCGTTTCGCTCGCCTTCGTGTCATTACATTTGACAAACAATGGATAATATTACTCGCTCTGACAACCAACTTAGCAAACCAATAACAAAATTGTAATGAATAACATTGTTAACTTATGACATAAATTCTTATTTATAATATGTGATACCTTTCTTTGCCTATTGATGATACATTCGAGAGTGCAGTGGTTGCAGCGGAAAACCGCCCCAACTGTCCGGCACCCATGGTTGTCGAAGTCAGTACTCCTTGAAAAGAGCTTGTTGACGCAACGCCAACAGCTGACTGTCGTTCATAGAATCTGAACATTTGATAAACAATGGATAATATTACTCCAAATATAAAAACT